CTGTATATCGTTAATGTGTCACATAATAATATTATGATAACTTAGTTTTAACAATAATAATAACAATAATAATAACAATAATAATAACAATAATAATAACAATAATAATAATAATAATAATAATAATAATAATAATAATAATAATAATAATAATAATAATAATAATAATAGAAATATCTAAAAACAGTGTCGATGATGATGTTGATGGTGGAAATAGTCCAAGGCTGCTCCTTCAAGACTTTTTCATCTTATAGCGGTTTCCAAATATTTACTTTCTACCTTAAAATGTCTTTCGAAGTCATTTCACCAAATAATGAAAACATAGTATCATTTAACGTGTAACTGTCGAATGTTTGAGAACAAGAGAGCTTGGCTCCGAGCACTTGACCCAAGGTTTTCCTTTAAGGTAAAATGTTTCAGAAACACGTTGCGAATTCAACGACCACAGGAGGTTGAATAGAAAACCTGCCTTTCAGTATGTTGTCAAATTTCCTAACACTAATTACCTCGCTTTTTCAAAATCGATGCCTTAAATTTAAAAATAAATGCGTTTCCTGCTCATGTTATCACCTCTTGAAGTTATCAAAATACTAAAAAATGTTTGATTTGAGTTCTCGTGTGCGTCAACTGCTGAGTTTGACGAGGTAGACAGTGCCCTAAGGGTCATGTATTTATCGCGAGAAACGATGGTGAATTTCTAACCCCCTGGATGGTGTGATCCGGTACCGAACTACACTTGCAGGAAACTATTTGCAGGATTTCTCCCAAACCAATATCCCCCACCGCCCCAGCCGGGACAAAATCTAAGCTTCTGACTCGTCTATAGACACGTATGATAATGTAGTGGATGTAAAGGTAAGTGTGTGTAAGTAGGGAGTGAGGATAGGACACAAAAGAGGAAGGAAAAAGCGCGTGCGGTTTGTGGCCCGTTTGTTAGGATACTGCTCCGGCATTCGCGTGGTGTCGATCGGAGAAACCACGGAAAAATACCCACTACAGCCGCATGACGCTAGAGTTCCTCTCCAGACAGCGCCTGAATTCAACCCAACTATCTAGCTAGTGTCAAAAATTCTGCCACCGTTGGGACTCAACCCCTAGAACCTCCCGGTCAGAGGCACTGCAATGCCATCGATATTGATGCCCTTAGACACACAAAAGGCGACATAAAAATAACGCAAATCAGAGATGTCAGTAGGGTTATCTTCCAGAGACCTCCTTCAAATGCTTCCCGATAGGTGACTCGCCCATTTTCCACGCCGCTTGGGGCAGAGAAATGAAAGTGCTCAATCGAAATGGGCAGTAAACTCCGGACGCGCGGCCCGCCGCCGGTCCCTCGCCCCGCCGAGCCGCGGCGTCGAAGGCCACGCGTAAAGAGAGGTTAATGCGAGCGAGCGTGCGCCTTCTATAACGCGTCAGGGGTTCATTGGTGGTTTGTGGAGCACTTGGCGCGGCGTTTGTGCGCACGAGGCGACGGCCGCATAGTCTTCGTCTGCTGCCAGGGAAGTGGAGAGCGGTGAGTAGGCGTCTCATCAAGTCTGTGTTTCCAAAACATCATGTTTTTTAATACAAATTTATTGGAGGCGACGTTATTCTGAACGTCGGTGTTTGCTTTCGAGAATTTTGACGTATTCAGTGGTTTATTTTTGAATGCAAATGACTCATGAAAACAAAAAAATAACAAATTCGGCTGGAGATAAATAATGGAATCGATTTAAAGGGTAACGTTAAGGAAACTTTGTTTACGCTAGAATAAATAACAAATACTGGGGACTTCAATAGTAAAAAATAAAATAATTAGTTGTGTTTTTCGGTAAATGTAATATCTTTTTAAAAGCAAAAGCGATAAATTCGTTTTGGTAATTGTAGTTAATTATTTTAAGCAAAGTTTTTCGTTAGTTAATTTCAATTATAAAATAAAAAACATCCGCGTTAATTATAAAGAGGGGCATTATTGCATGAAAACGAACGACGATAGGAGCGAGTTTTTTTTATTTACCATGAGTGCAATTTTACCCCTGTATCAACGTGTTACATTCAATATTTTTTTGTTTCCATTGAAGAATACTTTTTATTTTGAGAAATTCAATTATATCTTTTCCATTTGAGGTGTGTATTTGATGGCGTCATATTGGTTTTGAACTGGCCCAATTTTAGTAGGCCTTGCAGTGTATATGTATGATCACCTTTATGACTTAGAGCATAATTTATTAAATAAGAAATGTTTGAAAATGGAAAATATTTAATGTATTCCGGTGGAAACATTAAAAGCTGACAAAGCCATGAATGTATTACTTCGTACGAAAAGTAAGGGCATCTATGAGAGAACAACAACTCTTAATGTTGGAAAGGAGAAACACGATTCAGTTCTGACTCAGACGTGTTGCTGGTGTACTTTTCAGAGCGGGTAAATACCATTGACGATTACATTTTTTATACTTGTAATGTGGCAATACCAAATATTTTACACTGAAAATATTTATTCATGTTAAATACTTTATGTTGTTCCATTCGTCAGCTAGTGTCATACCAACATGCTTATGGTCATACTTGTTTATATTGAAGACGATGTGGCGTATAAAGGAAAATATCGATATTTTAAATAATAAACAATTTACTTGATTTTGTAAATAAAAATTAATTTTGTCAAAATAACTACTCTCTCTGGGCCGACACGTTCAAATAAGGGAAGTAAACATATATGTTCATTATAAAGCGTCTTCTGGGTTGATGGCAAGTATGAGTAGCGTAGTAGTTTCTAATTGCACTTATTGTATTACATATATTAACATGATTGTTTAAGAAGTAGCAATAATTATTCTTTATAATCTTGTTTCATACGTTCATTGATTCTATGTTTTTGGTGTACGTAACTTGTGATGTACATTTTTGTTCATGTTTCATGGCCGTCTGGAGATACCTTGGCTACGTTTGTGTTATAGATATATAATTAAACGATTTCGATCAGTTCTCAGAGTCCTGATTGGCTGTTGTGGGCTTTTATTCGCACAGTGAAGTTTTAATTACACATATGTCATAAGCATAGTGATAATCAACGATTTTTCATGGAATTATTGAACATTTTATTTAACTACACGAAATAATATTTTCGCTCACAAATATTGTTTTCTAAACTAGTTTTCAAAACGTGGTTTTATTGGGCTGTATCATCTACGTAGTAGTTGGTGGTGATAGAGAAAATAAAATAATACACATGTTCGGTTTGTTTCAACAAAAGATGTAATTGAAGACTTTTCTTAATAAATTCAATTCAAACACGAATGAGAAATGGGCAAATTCATTCATTTCCATTTGTTAAGCATCAATGCCCTTCTGATAATAACCAACATCGTCAACGACAATTGTGTAAAAATATTGCGATCTCCACAAAATAAAATGATATGTTTTAGTGCTCTTGAGCGTACTAAACCCTTCGATATCTTGTTTGTTTTTCGGTAGAATGAAGGGCCTGGAGCAGTAAAAAGGTTAGACACACTTCGTCACACAAAGTCGAGATATTAACAGAAAACAAAGGCAGGACGCTTGCTGTGGCTTGACTTCATTCTTACATTCACTTCAATAGTAAAATGTTTTCACGCGCAAATGTCTATATTTGAAACCATGTGAATACGTCGTTATTGTCATATCAGTTTAATATTTAACATTTAAGTTCGTATTTAATTGAGGTCATAATTTAATTGAGTACATAATTATTAATTCAGCTCACACTTCAGTTCACATTTAATATTTTCAACTTCTGACACCTTGTTAACTTACAGAAATTTTGAGACATTTTGGAAATTATTATGAAGTGATAAATTAAAGACAGGTGCATGAAATTCATAACAAATAAAACTCTAAAACTCTTAAATTAGGGGGGAAATATCGAGTTCGGATATTCAATGAAATTTACGCACTATTAATTTGAATAAACTCTTTTTTTACTGTTGAATGAAATCTTCATACTAAATATAACAATGAAAAACAATTTTTACATAGAATTGTAGGTTTTTGCGACTGAACTAAATGTTCAATGAGTAATTGTCTTTCGGAAGACTTTGGAATACATGCCGCCGTTTGGGCCGTCATACTGCGACCTTCCTCACGACGAAATGCATGGAGGTGGATTATGCAAGCGATAGATTTAGGAGATAGAATTCGGTATAGATATAGTTTGCTTTTCTGGTGGAAGATTCTAAAACATCTTCTATAGATAGAGAATTATGAATAGACTGACGATGATTTTTCACGTAACAAACGACCAAGCATTTCTGAATATGGGTGACACAACTTTGTACTTATGATACCCGAGTCCTACTCGCTAGGATTAAAAGCCTGAGCCGAGATGAAAGTTACTTTAGGGGCTGCTCCGTCCACTGGGATTAAAACGTTGGCCTGAGCCGAGCATAGGAGTGAAAGTCACTTAAACCGCTGCTCCATCCTCTAGGATTAAAGCATTAATCTGAGCCGGGTATAGGACTGAAATTCACTTAAAGGCCGGCTCCGTCCTCTGGGATTAGAACGTTAGCCTGGAAGTCACTTAAAGAGCTGCTCCGTCCTCTGGGATTAAAACGTTAACCTGAACCGTGAATGGGACGGAAAGTCGCATAAAGGGCTGCTCCGTCCACTAGGATTAAAGCATAATCCTGAGCCGGGTATAGGACTGAAAGTCGCTTAAAGGGCTGCTCCATCCTCTGGGATTAAAGCATTAGACTGAGGCGAGCATGGGACTGAAAGTCACTTAAAGGACTGGTCCGTCCTCTGGGATTAAAGCATTAGACTGAGGCGGGCATAGGACTGAAAGTCACTGAAACCGCTGCTCCATCCTCTGGGATTAAAGCATTAGATTGAGGCGGGCATGGGACTGAAAGTCACTTAAAGGGCTGCTCCGTCCACTGGGATTAAAACGTTAGTCTGGGTCGGGCCATGAGCCTGAAGGACTCTCGTAGGACTACCCTGAGCCGAGTCTGTTTTGTTGGCGAGCCCAGCGGTGAGCGGCGGCGATGCGGGCGGTGCAGGCGGCGCTGGCGCTGGCGGTGTGCGCGGGCGGGGCTCTGCCCATGGGCAGCGGGTCCGCCGCGTCGGGCGGTGGCGGCGGCGGCAGGGCGCTGTCGTCGACCAAGAACCAGACGGTCTTCGAAGCGCCCAACCCCCACGACGTGCAAGACGTGCAGCACGGCTGGTGGACCGTGAAGCGGACGCTGCCGCTCAGATACCTCGGCGTCACCCTGCTCATGACGTGAGTTCAAACAGTGAAATTGAATTGAATTGAATGAAAATTGAATTGAACAATAGAAACTATATATGACATGTAGGGGAATTGAATTGAATTGAATTAATGCCTTATTTTACGTGGCGAGACTCAGGCCATGAGGCCTGCTCTTCCGTCTGACCACGCAAATTTCGCTAATCTCCTTTCACCAACTAGCAGAGAAAGGAGGTATTTCTTGGGGCGAGAAACAGGTGATTTGAATTTACCTCAGAGGCGTCATTTAGGCTTGAGGATCTTTTACATGCAAGTAAATCTACTAACATGGGACAGCCGGCTTTACTTCCCCTCCGAAGGAAGGCGTACTTTTTTCGCCAAAGGCTTCGATCGGGTTTGAACCCGCCAACTTGGGTACAACAGTCCGATACGCTAACCGTTACACCATCGCCGCGCGTAAATGGGGAGATTTTAGGAATACTGTACTGCAGCCTTGCGCAACGTTTACTTCGGCGGGCATTCTGTACGCACGAGTTGGACGTCTGTCCGCCAGAGCGGCGAAAGGGCAAGGAGGGGTGGGGGAGAAAGCTTTGCAGGGAGGGGAGTAGCCTGCCGTTGCACAGTGGGGATGATGCGGCGCGTAGATTGAATACCGGGGCTTCTAATGCAATGATTCGTGCTGTGAAATGATTTGTTTACTAATTGAAATGTGTTAAGCCCCCTATTTTTTGCTACGAGGGCCATAATTTACTGTGTATGTTCTTTTCGGCATTGTTGTGTATATATATACTTTCCATTTTTGTATTTACGCTCGTTGTGACTCTCAAGGAATATTTTAAATCAGTCGGCAAGTTTCCTCTTACTTATGAACTTCTGGAAAACGTTCTTGAACATTTCTTTATATCAATCAACATTATTATAGGCAAAGATTGTACTGATGGCATGCAATCAATAGTGATATACACAGATATTCTAAGGGAAATGTTGATTAAAAAATTAATGAAATAATAGATTATGTCGAAACAATGCCCCCGGAAAGACAATATAGGAGTAGTTAAGTACATTTACAAACAGAACATAAGGAAGCCATGTTGGATACGGCTAGGGTTAAATGCAAATATTACGAAGTAAATATTAGGTCTCAGCAATGACTTCGAGGCCAGAATAAACGTGTATTGGATATTGGATAACTTTAAAATAAAATGAACATAGTCACGATTTGACCTATAAATAAAGCCGTATTTGTGTGTTTAATTCTGCTTTGTCATATCCAGAACAATTTTTGCATAGCACGTGCCAGTCACAACTAGTTTTGCAAACAACATTTTTGCATGAAAAGCGACGCCGGGCTGTTTTCCACTCATTACGCACTGCATCCTTACTTCTCATTCAATGAAAGAGTCATTGCTCGACCGTCAAGTTCTCCAAAAATTCAAATACCCCTCGGTATTTTGATAAAATAAAATGTTTGAAAGCGAGGTTAGTTTTGATCTTTCATACATGTGATTTCCAATTAGTTCAAACACCAAATTTGCATAAATTATCTTCTGCTAGATCAATTTAATGAATAGTTGACTCGAAAAATAAAAAATAAAAATAATTAAATTGTCTTAAATGCAAATGAAAAGGAACTACGATTTTGTGTTCTGTGTGTGTTTTGTGTGTGTTTGTACCGCCCTTTCTTCTGCTGAATTCCAAAAAAATGTTATAATTTCATGAATGTTCATACATATTATAATTTCATGAATGATAGCCTAAATAATTGTATTCTTTACAAATAAATGTAGCTTCACTATGCGCACGTTTTGTTCCACTCTCATTTTGCTTGTAATGGTTAGAGTAGAGGTAAGAACGAGTTGCTATTTTGATAGCAATGCAGAAAAACCATACTTGCAATTCGTGTATCGATGCAAATAGTTTTCTACAACTCAGAAAAGAAAATGACTGTTTTTCAAATATTGCTAATCTTCCGATTTTTAAGATTTATTTTTATTTATGTTATACGTTTACTCATCTTTCACCTATTTATAGTTAAACTGACAGGAAGGGATTCTGGAACTCAAGAAAAAGTGCGCAGAAAAAAAGTCCCCCCTACGTCACATACTCTATGTATTACAATCCACGTGTTGTCGATACCGCCTTCCTTCACAAGAAATACTCGTTTAGAAATACCGCCTGACAAAGAGAGATAATTCTGTGAACTTCAGGCCGAATCGCCACGTTCCTATTGCAACTAGATTGCAACTTCATAGCGAAGGCGGCCAAATAGCTGTAAACGGGGATCTCAAATTATCGTTCATTAATTAAAAGTTTGTATAAAATTATTTTCAATAGTAAATTATAATTAAAACGATAACTATAATTAAATTAATTAAGTAATTTATAATTAAAAGAAAAAACAGAAGTCAACCACACCGCGCGAGTATTCATCAAGATAAATATTATATTTCTTAGAAATTAGAATGGTCTCTAGGCCCTGAAAGAAACGCTCAAATGAGTAAATATTCAAAATGAATCACTTGGATATTAATTTGCTATTCGAGAAAATAGTTGCAAGAAATCATGTTCTTCCATGCAATATTTGTAACTTTGCGTAATTTCCATTTACATTTTAATTTAAATAGGTAACTTTTCGCACCTAATGTTCTACGATTATAATATTAACTTAATTAATATTAAAATCAACAAAAAGAAGATATTTTTAGAATATTCAATTGCCTCTCTCTCTCAAGTTTACTTTTACAGACTGTCACCGCCTCAAACAAAGCGCTGGAAATTCGAATTTAACATTTCAAATTATTTTCCAATTTACTCAAAAATATTCACAATTTTGAAAAATCGAACATGACCTTATTTGAAGATCTGTTCTTTAATGAACACATTTCATTAAGAAAAAATGTATCTTAATAATTGTAGTTGTAGGAAGGTGCCGAACAAAGTTTGATTTTTTCATTTTTCGAGAAATCAGGGTTTTTAACCAACATGAGATCCGTAGCATTGTCATAAATGTACTTCAAACTATTTACCAACAAAATTTAATGAAAATATATGGCGCGATTTTCTTGAAAATTTTGAAAATGTCCCAGGGACCTCGTAAAGTACCCCCCAAAATTAAAATATCAATTTCAAATTTATGGGGCCGTTACATTAGCCAGAGAGTTTAGGGAATATCAATTGTAGAGAATATCGCCTAAACGATTTAGTCACTAGCGTCGGTCACAGACGAACGGACGCTTTGCGGTCAATGGATTTTTGGGTATCAAGGACCCACAAAACGTGGCTTCTAGCAACACCACTCGTCAGGAATTTTATTCTCAATTTAGCAACTAAAATTTATCCACTTTTCTTATCTAGGGTCCTGTAATAAGATTTTTTTTCGAAAATTAGCTGTTTTTTTTTGCCCAGTATTACAGAATTTTCTCTATACCTCTGTAGCGGTAGCAGAGCACGCGCATTACCGAGTTGCCGTGATCGGCTTGAAATCAGTTTGCAAAGGTCTCAGACACATTAGAGCAGGGCCCTCGGGCGAACGAGCACCTGAATGGCCTTCGCAAAGGTTTGGGACACGCGGCGATAACGGCTCACTGAAGTCACGCGTGTCACAGGCGGGAAGCAGGAGTGCGAAACATCGTGCCAATGTGGCGAGTTGCGTCAAACACACGGGTTGGTATATCAAAAGAGATATTTATTAAAATTTAATAGAAATTGACATGTAAACAAACTGCAGTTATACAAGCAATGATCCGGAAAGATTATCGCACATTTCTACTTCGAGAATACACTATATGAACTATTAACACTAATTACAAATTCAAATTTTTAAGGAAATAAATATAAACAAAAAATGTATACTACATCAAGATAATTATATAACAATTTCAGAAAAAACGTGAACTTATTATTGAAAATAAATATTTAAAGAAATACGATGTGCATGTCTTTCGTGTGAAAATTCACGTAATCAAAGCACTTAAAAAAATATAGAGGAATGATTGTAACAGTGAAATATGTGAAAGAAAAACAGTGGTAATATGTAATAAATATATAAAATCAAATATATTATGTAATATTAAAATACACTAATTACATCACATTTATCTAATGAAAAATTACATTCGACAAAAATTTAATAACAATTTTTAAATATAATACAAACGTTTTAAAAGTCATTTGGAGAGCACAAGATGATACACATTTTGCATCGTAAACTTTCCCCTCAGTAAAGCTTCATCTATTGCTATCCAGGACAGTTGTTGAGCAGCTACACTTGATGCAATAGAGGCCATCGCACAAACTGGGGGTATCTACGACCAGCAAACAATCCCTGCAGCGTGCAGCATTCTCATCGAAGTGTTTACACGTCGGCGATCACATACATTTCTCGGAAATAAAGCTTAGAGATTACGAAACCCGGCGACAGGGGTACTTTTCACTTCTAAAGGTGAAACTGGTCTCAGTCGCTGACGCTGACTTTCCGCCACTGAGATAACTAAGGCAGGTGCGCAGGACTATACGAACAGCCGATCGCGTCTTATCGAAGCGCACTCGATTCTACAGCACACAGAAATATTGGAAGGAAAAAATCAACGTACGACGAAAAAAAAATTAAATAAAACATAATTTGTGAAAATAGCAAAATATGTAAAATTTTCCGACAAAAGTCTCCATAGAAGATTTTGTAATGCGTCTTAACATTTCTCATTTTTGTTATTCAATGCTTTCTGCATATTAAAGGAAGCACACCATCTCCACGCGCACTACAGAAGAAATCAAGGGCACACTCGGAGTGAAACTTGTTTTTCGTCTTCTTGCGTCCCGCCGTGACCGCCTGCAGGGCATCCCTGAGAAATCGGAGAGCGGGCTTTCCATCGCCGCTGGCCCTTGCAGAGCGCAAGCGTGCTCCGTTTGACAGCCCTGCGTTTTCGCATCATTTATTACATCAGAGTCCGTTAAAAACGTGGAAAAGGAATATATAAGCTGGTTACCGCACACACATTTCGTATACCATTCTATCTAGAAGAAACATAATTCACGGTACTGAGATCTGCCGCTCGCCATCTTAACAGTTCACAATAACTAATGCTATACAGTGTCACGAACATTACACAGGCTCATTAAATTAATCTGTACAAATGGCGATATAACTCATATGGCTCAATACACGAACAAATTTTAGATATACAACAAAGAAAAGATACCAGGAAGCATAAAAGTGTTGCGTTACAGCACTACATCGCTATTTCATTTCACATAAACATGTACATAAATTAATTACACGTTTGATCATTACTTCCTTTGGCATTGTATATTCGCACTGCACGGTCTTTGTCACGGCTGCCTCTAGTGTTCTCAGATGTCGAAGCTCTATTCACAATGCGGCTCTCAGGCGATTCTCCATACAAGCGAGGCCGGTACAGTTGTTACAGTCTCTACTATTGTTAACCACCTCACTGCGGACCGCATTCATTCATCCGGGTAACCGTCTTTCACTGACACGTGCTGGATTCACAACGCATTCACTACACGTTACACGGTTGTTATGAGGTGAAATATGGATGAAGAAATGTTGATGAAATATTCATTACATTTGCGTATTGATGTACGCGCTAGCTGGTTCCAAGCCCACATTCTTTGTAAATCATTGTTTTGAAAGCGGAAATAGCTTCGCAAAGTTCGAATTGGGCGTAGACCAGGTGTTGTGTGTGAGTAAACTTTATCATGTTGGTGAGCGTTTATTAATAAGACGATTTATTGGTAGATTCTTGCTGTGAAATTGGGCAGAATATCAAATTATCTAAATTTTACTTCAATCTTGAGAATCCGCACGTTTCTGACCAGACCTGCTGCAGCGTAAAGGCACCCATGGAAGAGCTAAACCTCCATAAACATAATAGGTCCGGTGATAATAAGTCTACTAGTGATGTTTCTCGTATTATTTGTAACGTAATGATATAATAACTCCTGTATTATTTCAGTAGTATACACACCTTTTGCGTTTCTCATACGCATTCTATCTTTATAAACAAGGTCTCTAAAGAAATATAATTCCATGGAGATGTGACGAATAGCACTTTTATTTTTAAAATGTGAAGGATTTGTTTAAAAAACGCAACTAAATATCCATGTAAAATTCAACCTGCATCACTGTCAGCTATCTCATTAAATAACTCTTAAACCAAACGTTGTAGGGCCTTAAAAACTACAACTTTGAGGCCGAAGGCTGCCTCAAACAAGTTAGCGAGGCCTCTCAAAGAAGCGTTCCTCACACCGTAATCTACAGGATGCGATATGGCATTCCTCTCTCTTATACTATATACGCTTTCTGTGTACACCGTGTGTTGAGAAGACTGACGAGATTTATTTGCATAGTTACACTTATACGTTTTTAACAAATAAACGCGTTTCATTAACAACTTTCCTTGTTAATTTAAAGGATAGGGAAATGGTGGGGAATGACATGCTAAAATTCTCGAACCGATATGCTAGTAATATAACAATAGTACAATACTAGTATTCCTTATTTTTTTTCACCAATTTCACCATTGTATTCCAAGATGCACGTTACATTACTCGAAAACTGTGTATGGTAAGCCCATAAAAGTCAGTTTTTAGGTTCCGAATAGAACTCAAGTTACGTTTTTTAGATTGTACTCGACAAAATGCGACCTTTCTTCTATAGTACTACAAAGTATAGAAGTGTGCCTCAAGAAAAATGTGACGACTTATCGTCAGGAAAAAAGTTTCTTACTTCTTGATGCAGAAAAAAGTGTTTATTGCAAAAACGGACAACACTAGCATTTTATCGTACTCCTTTAACTTTGGCGGGAAATTTACAAAAAATCCATAACATTTTTTAAAAATTTCTTAAAATTTGCACAAAAATTTTAAATGTTTGTTAGTTTGCTTACTGGTTCGCTTTCTTTGTCTCATTCCTTCTTTCTTCGTCTTTCTTTCATTCCTTCTTGAGCTAACGAATAGAGCAAAAAAGGTTTTTTGAAAATGTTGCAGATCCTATTTCCATTAAAAACTCTGCATTTTTTAAAATGGCAAACTTTCTTTTTGTCGAACTTTCCCTGCTTCTGCAGTGTTGAGCTAGAGACTTTATACTAGATCTTCAAATAATTTCATGTACATTTTATAACTATTTACACAAGTCATGGGGAGTTTATTGGTTTAATGGTTTTCTAATCGAGAAAAGATCGTTATTAAGGGTCTGGTAGTAATTCAAACATGCGAACGTTTGAAAATTTGGAAATATCCGATAAACGCAAATATATAAATCTCCTTCTTGTGTGAATGTTTCACGAGATGGCTGAAGAATTAGCAGAATACAATTTTCAATATTATATTACGAGTTGGTGGTTTTTCCGGCCATTTCCAGGCGAAGTTGAGAGCAGGGGCTGTACAAAGGGACCGCGATTATTCTTTACCCATCTCTGTCTTACCCTCACCCCATATTTACATACACTAACACTTAGATGCCCTACACCACCACACATGTAGTGGTCACCAGTCGGAAGCTTAGAACTAACATAAAGGGTGACATCTACAGCAAGGCGACGTGTAGGTCGGCGCTGGATTTCAGCATCCAGTGGGGGAGGAATACTACCACTGACAACACCAATGTGTCCTGTGAGAGTAGAAACTTGAATGAATCAACCTTGTACGTGTGAAGTGGAGAGTGTATTGTGTGAAGGGCTAATCATTCTTCTCTCTTCTGTGCCTCCACTGTCGAAACGCCTGGTGACGCCGTGTGCGCAGCTTCCTGAAGCTGTACCCTGAGCACTACGAGGCGTTCGCGGGCGCGGGCGCGGAGCTGCATGGCGTGGAGCGGCTGCCGCAGAACCAGCCGTTCGTGGCCAAGGCCGTGACCTGCGCCTACGGCATGTCCTCCATGTTCGAGAACATGGAAGACCTGCCGCTGGTGGAGGAAATAGCGAAGCAGGTGGGCGAGCGCCGAGGCAAGGACGGGGTCACCGCAGCGTCCCTCGAAGTGAGTCTGCGCGCGGCGTGCCACACCTACGCACGCACGCCACACCTACGCACGCACACCAAACCTACGCACGCACACCACACCTACGCACGCACACCACACCTACGCACGCACACTACACCTACGCACGCACACCACATCTACGCACGCACACCACAGCTACACACACACACCACACCTACGCACGCACCACACCTACACACACACCACACCTACACCACACACGCACATGCAGACGCATGCACATGTGATCACCCAAACATACACACCCACTAAGGCTAGAACAACTATACGTGCCTGGAGAGGTGGCTCAGGACATCAACTGGTGTCACTGCTGTACCTCTGACTGGGAGGCTCTACGTGCGAGTTCAGACGGTGGCCGGATTTTTTATACTAACAAGATAGCTAGATCGAGTTCAGTCTGGAGGAGAATTCTTCTTTGTCATATATCTTTAACAAAAACGTAATGTAATCAATAGTGCTTTGTAGTTCACTTGACGAGTTTCCGGGGACATTTCTGCTTGCCCAGAAGGGCAATCGCGAAAATGCGACTGCTCGTGGAGGCAAAAGCGTCCTCGCTCCTGCTTTGGGTTTTCAGAGGTTACAAGACTTTTAATCCCAATCACCGACAAACACGTGTGTCTCGGTCCCACTGATTGCACTATACGCGGATGAGATCTGCGGGATGACACAAGAACCGACTCACAGACTCCTGTAGTTGAAAGGGCGACTGGTAGAGGTGTATCACGGCATCAGCTGATGTCACTGCAGTTCCTCAGACCGGGAGGTCCTGTGTTTGAGTCCCGACGGTGGCAGGATTTTCGATACTAGCTACATATAGGTCGAATTCTGTCGCTGTCTCGAATGAATTCTAGCGACCAGCTGCTCTGATCGGTAATTTTTCGTGGTTAATCTGATCAATACCAGACGAATGTTGGAGAAGTACCCTCACAAAGAGGCAAAGGACCGCCTACGAGCTTTCCTACCTCTTCCTTGTCCTATCCTCACTCCTTACTTCCACACTTCCACTTACATACACTACACTACCACACATGTCGGGAGACCGGTCGGGTGATTAGTTTGTTCCGGTCGGGGTGATGCCGCGCAGGTGGGAGATACCTGGTTGAGGAAAAACCCGCTTACCGAAGGTAGGTCGGCACCGAGTCTCCCCATCTAGCGGATAAAGATCACCTGCACCTCACGAGAAAAATACATGCACTGCACTTACGGGACTAATGGCCTTAGCAGTTGACGCGCCCGAAGTTCCTAATGAATCAAAAACAACTACGTCGTATCATTCTTCTCTGTGCTTGACAGTCGGGCCACGACAGCAACAGCGTTGCTCCGCTTTACTGCCGTTGCCACGTGGCGCTGCACGATTGTTCTACATTTTGGATAGTTTTCCGATGCCTTACTGTGTGGATACGTTTCTTTTCCATTTAGCGCGTGTTTCAAACGACTGCTGGTTACCGTTACGTCCCAATGGGACGTATAATACGCAACTACACACTTGCGGGCTTCTCTGATCTGTGGTCAATAGAACGCGAGACCATTCGTGACCACACATACGTGACGCAAGGCATAACTATCATGCTCAAGGCGGGATTCGAACCCATGGCTCTTGGACCCGAAGTGCTGAGTCCGTACACGCTCTTAACCAGCTCAGTCATTCAGGTCGGCGGCAATACTTTTAATGAGGTTAATTTGATGTTGGCCGTCATGCTTTGCCCGAGTGCTTTGCGGAAGCGCTCAGCTCGCACGACGCTCTTTCACTGCTATTTTATTAATTCCAAGTTTGTAGCAACTTGGAACGATTATGTCACTGGAAAAGCTGTTGCTATTGCCAGTCAATAGGAAACCAGTGTCGGCGTCATTGCGTGTCTCTTAATCGTCAAGCTTATTAGAAAGTTTGGCACACCTGCTGACGTACGCACACACAAGTAAATATGCGCTCTCACACCTCCAAATCCAGCACTGTAACTACCGGAGCACACTACCACCGGCGTACGCAATCGAATACAAGCACGAATAAACTCCCGCTCGCACGTATCCACACACTTTCCCATATTCACATGCACGCACACAATGGACTCTCACCGAATGGCGTCTTATCACATCCGTTTCTTACCGGTGCGGGAGCCATATTTAGTCGACGTGCGTCGTAACAGTTCTACTTTTGCGAAGAATATGGTAATGTTACAATAAGCCACACGCGTACTTATGAATTCGTTATATCACGCTCGCTATCATTAGCTGCAAAAATCTGTAGGGTTTCGCTTGACATATCGAAGTGAGGATTATATATCTGGAGTGAGAGACCGAGAACGACAGAGTGAGAGACCGAGAGCGACAGAGTGAGAGACCGAGAGCGACAGAGTGAGAGAAGAGGACCGAGACGACAGAGTGAAGAGACCGAGACGACAGAGTGAGAGACTAGAGCGACAGAGTGAGAGACTGCAGAGCGACAGAGTGAGAACTGAGGAGCGACAGAGTGAGAGACTGAGAGCGACAGGTGAGAGACTGAGAGCGACAGAGTGAGAGAGCCGAGAGCGCACAGAAGTGAGACGAGAGCGACAGAGTGAAGAACGAGAGCGACAGAGTGAGAGACCGAGAGGCGACAGAGTGAGAGACTGAGAGCGACAGAGTGAGAGACTGAGAGCGACAGAGTTGAGAGACTGAGGAGCGACAGAGTGAGAGACTGAGAAGCACAGAGTGAGAGACGAGAGCGACGAGTAGAACTGAGAAGCGACAAGTGAGAGACCGAGAGCACAATAGTGAGAACCGAGAGCGAAACATAGTGAGAGACCTGAGAGCGGACAGAGTGAGAAGACCGAGAGCGACCCAGAGTGAAGAGACCGAAGAGCCGACCAGAAGTAGAGACCGAGAGCGACAGAGTGAGAGACCGAGAGCGACAGAGTGAGAGACTGAGAGCGACAGGAGCTGAGAGACTGTAGAGGCGACAGAGGTAGAGAATGAGAGCGACAGAGTGAGAGACTGAGACGACAGCAGTGAGAGGACCGAGACACAGAGTGAGAGACCGAAGCGACAGAGTGAGAGACGAGAGCGACAGAGTGAGAGACCGAGAGCGACAGAGTGAGAGACCGGAGAGCGACAGTGTCGCGGTTCGGGGGGAAGGAGACCCCACAACTCGCTGCAGGAAGAAAAAAGAGAGTATATTTTAAATATATTTAATAAATTCACTTACCCGCGTTAGTGGGACCCTACGTCCTGGGAGTGGGTGGCATGGTCCGGCTGGCTCCGGCAGTGTGGACGTGTAATAAGCAGGCGGGCGAGGTTGCGGAAGCCCTCGCCATTTTTATAGCCTCGGATCGCTGGCGTCGGCAAATGACAACTGTCACTTGCCGACGGCCCAAGCGTAGTCGCCGAGCGGCCGGAAAGCCATATCGCGACACCACCCTCTCCCCGGAAAAAGGGCAGCGCTACGCGTAATTTTGATATATACATAATATGACATCACAAAAACGGGAAACCAATAATGCCACCCAAAATCTGCTCTTGTTGCAAGGAAAAAAAACAGAGAGGAGAGAAAAAAAATTAGTGAAAAAGGCCTTTGATGGAACCATTTGGTGAGGCACATAGGCTGCAAGGCCTGCTAGTGGAAAGATGATTCTACCCAACGCTTCCTCACCGTCATTGGCTAGCCATTGCAAGTGCAATCCACTAGTCCAAGCACCAGGCCCTCTACTCTTCGTAAAGAGAGATGATTGGTGGGCCTTGTTGTGCAGCCTGCTAGTGGGAAAGAATGTTCTACAAACTTCCTCACTTCATACGTCTGCGATCGCCAACGCGTCGGACGGATCCAAGCGTAGACTCTAAAACAGAAGAGGATCCATTCGCGTGGGCATTTGACTGCAGCCTGCTAGTGGGAGATATGATTCAATCAACATCTCCTCACCTCATAGAATCTGCCTTTTGTCGACCCCTGTCCGAAACCGCCAGCGAGTGTGCTTGGATGCGGAACAAACCTGCACCAAGGTAGGAGGAGTTAGAGGAATGCGGAAATGAGGGAGAGAAAAAAAAAACCGTAAAGCGACTAAAGGAACGGGCGCTCCTCAATTAGGAGAACCACCAAAACGATACAGAAGTTTAAAAAAAGGACAACCAACAAGCAAACAAGGAACAGTGCGTGGAGCATTTCTAAAACCGCTCGACGCTTTAGAGCGCGCCCAGGTGCAATGAGGAGCCTTGCGCTTGCAGGAAGCGCTACGGTGTGCTGTGCTCCTCGTGCGGCCTCGGCGCGTGGCGATCGCTGCCTCAGCGGAAACCGAGCCACAGTGCTGTCCGCCCGCGAGCTGAACCAAAGAGCAGAGGCAGGGCGCGTCGTCGCTGCTAAGCAGGCAGAAACTGTCTCTCTTAATAGGCCATGCTTTATTCTGCAATAAAAATTCATTAAGTTACACTACCCAGGTAAAACACAAAATGGGAAGGGAAAATAATGACAAGAAAAGTGGGGAATATTAGGTCTTATTGGACAGGGCTGTTTCTGTAATGAGAAAGGCGATTTTGAGTGGAAAAAGAAAGAAAATATCCATAATTCTTGCGTTGACAGCAGGTGTGCAAAAGCAGAGATGAGAGCACCATAAGCGGCGCATTCAGTAGTCGGCTTTCTGAGAGCGACAGGTCTCGCAGGCGTTGGACAGCCAGCAAAGCGCACGCCACCACATAGCACACATTTTCAGTCGTTGTCTGAAAACTTAAGAAATTGATTAGTTTGTCTTGACTTTTCTTCCTCCTTTGCTAGCGGCGTTTGCGGCTTTTGCGCGAGCGCGTAATGGCCCTAAAGGCTTGAAGAAGGAGAGCGAAATACTGGGCAGACGAATGGCAGATATTCGGTTGGCCTGACGACTGAGTGCGAGCGTCCTCTGTAGCTGTCAGACGTTGCGCGCCTGCTTCCGGTTGGGGATATCGCCAGAGGCATTACAATTTAGCCTGGGAATCTGGACCGCAGGAATACGGGTTTCGGACGGGTGCTGCCTTAT